GCACACCAACGCGCCCGCCCGCCCCCCCCCCGCACAGCCCGGCGGCGGGGGCAGGGAGCGCCGCTCGTCGTTTCCTCCTTCCTCGCGCGGAGGGGGCCCTCCACCCGCCTTTCTCCTCCTGCCCAGGCAGCACTGCCTGCGGGCTCTGCCGCCGGGCTGCCCCCTCCTCCCCCCGGCGCGGAGCGAGGCGTCCCCTGCCCCCCGCCGGGCTGTAGCCGGGGTCGGCTCTCTGCCTGCCGCCCGCCTACCTGCGGGGGGAGAGGGTGGCTGTGGTGCGGAGGGCTGCCTGGCTCCTGCTCTTCCCTTCAGCTCCTGGGAAGTTTTTTGATCTACTTCTTCAGCCCTCGATCAGGAAGAGCTGCTGGGAGGAGCTTTCCACTTCTCTCCTCTACATCTTTATTGGCCGCTCCCTGCCTTCCAGCGTGTGTCACACAGGAAGACAGAGAGCTACATTATTAATTAATGGCTGAGAGGACTCATCCTCCATTTTTGAATGATCGGCCCCGAGATCCGCCGCGCGCCAGGGGCCGGGTGGTGGCGGGGTCAGCCCGGCCGCCGGACCCCCGCCCCGCGCCTGGGGCTCCCAGCTGACAACCTCCTCGGACACTAGAGACGAGAAAGCTGCGGAGAGCCGGGGAGGCGTGTGGTCGGGGAGGGGAATAAAGACTTTTCAAACGCTCTTTTCTTTCCGTTTCTCTCTCCCCTTCCAAAACACTCCTGCCACTGCCAAAAACACTTCGCTCTGCAGAAGAACCTAGAGCACTTCAGAGACCCCCCCTCTTCATCCTGGACAAAAAAAGCTACTGTCCATAGTACTTGTCCATACAGCCAGGAGAGAAATATCAACATTTAATAGAGTCTTCCAGTCTAACTAGCAACAAAGGCTTTGGTGGATAATAGAAGTACAGAGAAACCTGTCTCCTAATATTTAAGTGCAAAGGGATATGTTGTCATCTGAGTTCAGGAACAAGAAGGGTACGCTGTGCCAGTTACAAGTTTCAAGTATAACACTCATTCTCCTTAGATGTGTGGGCCCCAGAGCAGCGTCTCCTGCTCTCATGTCACCTGAGATATGCTCATATTACTCTATGAAAGCACGTGCTGCTATTGCTTGTAATGTTCGATTTTTATTTCACTTGGCATATTTTAAAGATTACTGTATTGGTTGATAGGGTTCTCAGGTGCGCAGGAGGCTTTACAGAGCCACAAAAGAAGATAAACTCCATATCCTAAGAAACATCAAATCTAAAGTCTCAGGCAAAAAGTTATGAGTAACCACAAACTCACTGGGACTAAGAATTTGAAGAGCTGGTGCTTAAATAGAACGTTACCATCAACACCCCTGATCCTGGAAATACGTGGGCTTGTGTTTTGTCCTGCACCTGTGCAGACTTCCATTGACCACCCAGGCCAGGCACATGCATGGATTAAGCTTGGAAAGTCAAGCTCTCCTGATGAGAGGAAAAGGAGCTGTGAAAACATTACCTTGTATGTAGGTAGCTCTCCCTCCTGTTCATGTTACCCTCCCACTACAGATAATTTAACAGCCCATTTGCACAAATTTGGAGAGATGAAGAAAGATCAATACATGCAAATCACATCTATTAAATGAAGTGGAAAAGAAAAAAGAGAGCATACAATGGGCCCAGGCAGACCATGTGTGGATGAAAAAGAAAGTGCAAGACGAACCTGCATAGCAAACCCATTCACAAGTGATGTGACTTCATCTTAGGAGCAGTAAATTCATCAGGCAATTTTCTAATGCTTTCAAACATCACAGGTTAGCTTTTGTTTGTAGACAACCCCTCCCAGAGTCAGCCAATTAATCTGCCAACCACCTCCTTTCATCATGTCTATCTTTCTGATTTATCAGTGGGGTCTATGTGCCCAGGAGTCACCTCCCACCTTAGATTCTGGTGTAAGGTCACATTCAATCTTTGTTCTGCACAGAAGCTCCAGGAATCGAGAGCCTGAAGGCCCTTGGCACCACTTTCTTTTCTATGATCTTGGTACTATCAAGGGGGCCTGCTATTCACCACACCAGCAATTGGGCTTATGCAGAAGTCCTGAATGTTCTTGCACTAAGGTGAGAGTCAAGGGTCCGTTCAGACCTCCAGAATCCCAGGAGCATATATGTCTATACAGCAGACTGTACCAGAGAGGGGCCACCAGCAAGGCTGCTCCGAAGTCAAGGATCTCAAGTGTGACTACAAGCAGGCATGGGACACAAACCACCACTCAGGCACCAATTATGCCACAGCTCCATGCTATGAGTAGCTGGACAAAATGTTTTCAAAAGCTTCCCATATCAAAGTGGACAGAGACAGACCTCAGTTAGACCATGGTATGTGGAGCTAAGGGCTTCTATGGTCAAAGAGGTCTCTGACAGCCAGAACCTTTTCACCAGCCAGGAGGCTGAGCAGTCCAAACTAGATTCCAAGGTCTCCCAAACAACCACAAGCCAGCCTGCTGCTACACAGGCCACAACTCTCCGAGTCACTGCGATCAGGAAAAGATACACAGATGACATGACTGGAATGCATGTTTGCCTTTTGAATCAGTTCATGCCATTTTGTATTGCCCAGACTGCTTAAAAATATCTTGCACTGGAAGCAGCATGAACAAGCAACATGACCATCCCAGTGACAGCTACTCCATGGGGGACAGTAAGAACAGTGCCTTCTGGAAGCATCGCTGCTTTAACCCCTCTAACCAACAAGTTGGCCTGATGGCCCACTACTCCAGCCCCCAGGAATGTGGGGTCTTTCATTTGTGCCTCTGAGCTTAGCCTAACAAAGACTGAAATGCCCCAAAATTCACCAAGTTTCTGGTGGTTTTCTCATTAACTTGTACATAGGTAGCTCTCCCTCCTGTTCATGTTACCCTTCCACTACAGATAATTTAACAGCCCGTTTGCACAGAAGACACAAATTTGAAGAGATGAAGAAAGATCAATACATGCAAATCACAGCTATTGAATAAAGTGGAAAAGGTAAAAGAGAGCCCACGGCATACAATGGCCACAGAGATACCATGTGTGGATGAAAAAGAAAGCACAAGAAGAGCCTACATAGCAAACCCATTCACAATGACGCCCAGGACAGAAAGAAGGCAATCAGTTTTCTTGTGTGCAATTCAGAGCTATCTTGACGGTGTTTCATTGTGACACCTTAGCAATATTCATGGGGTTTCCTCAGAGTAGGTTGCCAGTGAGCTATCTTGTCACTAGAATGAGGTGTCTGTTTCGTTTGTCATAATTGCAGACAGGTGGTTACTCCAATCACTGGGCCAGTCTCTCTTTGCCTCCGCCAACCCACCCCTTTGCAGGTCCTTTATGCAATTTCCCAGACCTCTGCAGTAACATAAGTGAATCTTTTGCAGTGGTTGACTTGGCTCAGCAGTAGTATCTATGTAAAAGAACTCTCTTCCTATGAACTCCAAGTCCTGCAGGAGGACAGGGGAGGGCAAAGAATGTATGCTCTATCACTCCTAATTGGTGGTCTAAAATGGTTATTCTGCTTCCAGTAGCATAACTAGGGCGAGATGACCAAGGCAGCCACACAGGCAACCGTTTGGAGGTAAGGGAGAAACCACTGTCACCACAGCCACACAATCATGCCAGTGGCACAGCAGGAACCACTGCTGTCCCCATGTGTTCCAGCTGCCCCAGACACCCAGCTGCATTGTAATGCCTCTTCTTCCATAGGTCTGTAGCAAGCTCTGTGCAGATTTCTAGGAACATATCATGCCATGGCACTGTGGTGGACATCTTTCATTGCACCGGGAGATGCATAACTCTATAAAACCCGAAAAGAATAAACCCTGGCTGCCAAGTCCCAGTCTACAAGCATTTTCTCATTTATGGTAGCTGAGCACAGACTACTCATTTGTCCACAGCTTCGCCTCTCATGGCTTATTCTTTCATGTGTTCATGGCCTGAGACTCCATGTAGATGTAGTGATCTACATTAGCGTAACCTGTAGGGATGATGCTTACGTTAAAGATTACAGCCTACATCTTGAATTATTCTCCTAAAATGTTGTTTAGTCCTTGATATTTTACAGCGATTAGCCTTATTCCACCCATTCAGTCAGTTTACAAAACATTTAGCTTGTTGAGCTCTGAACATCATTTCTTCCAAGTCCCCTCAAAACCCTACCAGTTTATATTCCATATTCACCAGTGAAGCCACTTTAGTTTTAAATAAATTTATAGTGAAGGGCAGAGATGTGACTGTAAATTAATCAGTTAAAAAGCACATTACAGTTTATATATATAGCCCCTTGGGGCTCAAAAGGAGTCTATCCCATTACGTAGGAAGGGAGGTAAGGGGGCAAAAAAGCCCCCTTGGCTGAACAGGGAACTCCAGGAGAGTCTGGGGGCAAAGAAAGAGATGTAAAGGCAATGGAAACAGGGAGCAGCCACCAAGGAGAAATATATCTCCCTGGCGTGCTATTGCAGGGAATCAGTTAGACAGGCCAAGGTGGGGCTTGAGCTCAGGCTGGCTTCAACAATCAAGGACAATTAGAAGTCCTTCAGGTATATAGTGGGCAAAAGGAAAGCTCAGAGCAACATAGAGCCCCTGCAGGACAAATCAGGACAGTTGGTGGTTGACACAGGGAAAAAAGCAGAGCTCTTCAATGAGTTCTTCGCTTCAGTATTTCTAAGTACCGACCAAGCCAATTCCCC